ACATATGATCTGTGGCCTCCTGGTTGGGCCTGGGATGGATGGACCTCGATCTGCCTTACATCACATATCACATGTGTTGGAGTATCTCCAAGAGTACATAATATTTTTTTTCCTAAAAACATGAAGCTTTATAACCCCTAAAAATGTATTGGAAGGAATAAAGAAGATTATTTCCAAGAGTTTCTAATAATCTATCTCTAATCTAATAATAAAGAGGCAAAATTTCTACGTTTTTTGTACCATTATTTTGGTCTGACCTCCCTAACTAATTGTACACGTTTTTATAGTAGTGGATGTGGAACAGCCATGCAAAAAAAAAAAAATTGTATTTGGACTAGGACTCAAACACAGCACGCCATCTGTCTCGTGGGGTCCTGGTCGCCTCTGTCCACCCCACACGACAAAAAAAAAAACAAGAACGGAAAAGATGAGAAGAAAACTATGAATCCACACGGCTCTAAATCGAATAGAAGAAGAATTTGAAATCTATATCTATAAATTTCAGCCCATCCATCGATCCCAACAAGAAGAAAAGATTGGCAATGGAACCGTATGGCCTAGAGGACCCAATTTATTTCCACAATAATAAAGGCATGTTTGGTTCAAATAAATCACCTACTTATAAGTTAAAAAGTAAAATAAGTGATTTATTTTGCCAAACACTACCAACTTATAAGTCACCCCTGCTTATAAGTTTTAAGCTGGTTCACCCCTGCTTAAAACTTATAAGTCACCTTTTTCCGCGTAGGGCCCACACCTTAAATAAGCTTTTAAGTCATCTACAACCAAACAGACATAATTTATAATTTATAAATCACTGATTTTCAGTCACCTGACTTATAAAAACCAAACATGGCCCTAAAAGTCAACATCTTGAATTGTGACCGATCTTGGATTGTATTTTGTGTCCGATCAATTGATCCGGAACATCTAGAAGGACACCTCCCTCTACCTAACTTCGTGTGTAGACGGTGGAAGTCGAGTACAATTTATATAAGTACCATGTTTTTTCCCCTTTGATGTCCGCGTGAGTCCAGTTATGATTTATGTGCGTCCGTTGTCCGGGTTCGTGTCCGGAGATCGGCGCTTTTGGTTTAATTTTGTAAGTAGTTTTTTTTCCTTGGAACAGATAACCGGAAGCAATAACGAGTGCAATTTTGGCTTTACACGATTTTTTTCTACCGTTTTTTTTTTCTCAATGTACACGTACGTACATGGTTTATGATTTGCAGCAATTTTTTGCTTTTGTTTTTCCTCCAACGTACTTACATGGTTTCCGATTTGTTTAGTAATTCTCTGCTTTTATTTTTTCTCAAACGTACGTACATGTTGATTTCGTAATTGTTCCCCTGCCGTGGATCAACACTTGTGGTTACTTTTTCTCATGTGAAACAGGTAAGGTAAGCCGGAAGCAACGAGAAAATTTTTGGTATGCAACTGTTTGTTTTTAATGGAAACTAAAAAATAATGTTTCTCCCTTCTTGTTTTAAGTTTCATTGATGTCACACCACTCAATGCCATGTCCTAGACGTCCAAACCCACTCGCGACGCGTTGTGGACATGTGGTTGTTGCTTACTTTAATCTTTGTGTTAAACTCATAATAGATACACACACAATATCACCAATTTTAGTTGAGTTAATTTATTCTTAATTTATCATACTTAGCCTTTATTAAAGCCTTGGATTTAGTTGATTTAAGGTTGGACCAAGCTCATTTAAATTCTACAAAAATAGCTAACTTATTATCAACCTTGACATGCCACCATATGTTCATGTTGCAACGCACGGGCATATATTGCTAGTCTACTCCTAAAATATAGAAGACAATTTTACATCATGAATCCTATATTATTTCTAAATTATCCTAACCACTTTTATATATTCTTTCTCTCTTGTACATTTGCATCAGAAACCCTTTCCTACTCTTTATTCTTTCAACGCCCTTTTACCTTTAGATCGGCCGACAAACACGCGTGGGAGAGAGAAGATACGCGCGACTCGGAGGTGACTTTTCCTAAGTTCTAAAAGATTATGGGGATGGATTATGAGTTGTTGGAGAGGGGCCTTTTCAGATCTCACTAAAAAAAGATTAGAAAAGGATGTAGGGAACTCTTGGAGATGCTCTTATTTGCCCAAATTTGACGGCTCACCAGGGTTTATTGGTTGGCCGGTCCATGCAACTCTCCTCTTTAAGAGCACCCGTAGTGTAACGACTCAGGGGTGTGCCTAAAATGGGCCCCACTGCTAAAATGACTCGCTGTGGTATTGAGCCCATAGTGTATCGATCCAACCTGAGACTATAGACGGACCCACGCAGAAAGAAAAAAAAAGCGACGGACATTTCTTCCCGCAATCTCTTCTTCGTCGGTCTTCTTTCCCCTTTCTTTCGCCGCCGCGACTCCTCCGAATCCGTCGATCTGCCCAATCCATACCTCATCTCGCTCGTGCGGCGCCCCAGGCCCATCCGCCGGCTGTTGTCTCCCTGGTGCAGCGCTCCCTGCTTCATCTGCTGCCGCCTCGTTACCCCCATGCGGCGCCCGCCTTCCACTCGTCGTCGCCGCCCGATCTACTCCAGGTTCGCTCATCGCGGGAGCCCTCTCTGCCCATGCGATGTTGGCGTACAACAAGGAGGACGCGGCAGCATGAGCGTCCATGGTATCGTGCATGGAGGCGCATCCTTTGTCGCCTACGGGATCTGCTGCATGGTTTGTCCCTCCGCGTCTAATAATAGAATTTTTTTGATTTAGTCTAATAATAGATTTGGTGTTGTGCGGTAGTAGAATTTTCCATTCATTGATTCAGAAAAAAAGAACTTTCCATTCATTTAGGCTTACACGGCAACAATAATAAAAAAACTAAAATAGCAAGATACTTGCAAAGCACATCTACAGATTACAGATCCCGAGTTTGTCGACCACCAAATTTTTGCCATATATGTTCCACTAGATCTTCCCGTAGACGTTTATGAGTCTCTCTCATCATGAATCATATCATTGATCTCCAACGATTCGGTAAATCCATGAATTGGCCCGTGGTCAAGTCCTTCAATTGGTCTCGTAGCTCGACCTTCTTCATATGTAGTGTCTAGATGCAACTCGATACGAGTCCCTCTCATCCTCAACTATCATATTATGCGAGAATAATACAAGCCATCATAATATCTTCTAGCTCCTACCTATCCCATAGACGTCTTTGGATGACGATAATGGCCCATCTTTTCTCAGAGAATCCCAAAAGCACACTCGACATCTTTTTTGCGGCCTCTTGATGTTTGAGCAAAGAGTCCATCCTTGTCGATGAAGAGGTAAAGTAATTGTTTTTACAAATGTTGCCCGGTCGGGATAAATTCCATCACCCAAGTAGTAACCCATATTGTACTCTGAACCATTTATTGTAAATTTAACTTCTGGGGCTCTCCCTTGTAGCACTTGTGTGAACAATGGCGATTGGTTCAACACAATTAGATCATTGTTGGATCCAGGTGTGCCAAAAAAGGCATGCCAAATCCAATGGTCATAGGAAGCAACAACTTGAGCATGATAGTGGGTACCTTGTAGTCACCACGGGTAAATCGCCCTTCCATGCAATCAAGGCGCTTCCCCATCGCCAATGCATGCAATCTAGACTTCCCAACATCCCTGGAAACCCTCGTGCCTCTCCAACTTGGAGTATCCGTTGGATATCCTCATCATTAGGTCTTCTAAGATATTTCTCCCCATATATTTGTCTAATACCTTGAACAAACTTTATTAGGCACTCTAAAGTTGTGGTTTCAATTCCAAATGATTTATCCATAAGGTCTGCCGGTGATCCATATGCTAACATTCGGAGGGCAGCCGTGCATTTCACGCAGTGAAAAGACCCACCTTACCAATGCATCTCTCCTTAATCGAAAATACGGGGACCAATTTTCTAATGCTTCAACAATTTGCAAAAATAATTGCTTTCTCATCCAAAACCTTCTACGGAATTGGGTTTCAGTGTACAAAGGATTCTCACAAAAGTAATCAAGAACTAATTTTGCATGGCCACTTCATGATCCCTATTAATGTACCTTCGTGAGTTATGGTCGCTACTACGCCCGATCTTGAAGTTTAGCTTCAATCCGAGCTTGCATTTTGCCTCAACACGAGCCACCGGTGGGTCATTGATTTCCTCCAACATGAGATTTTGGAGGTACTCACTCTTGATGGATGATTTTTAGAGCCTTCGCCATTTGTTGGTATAGGTCTAGCTTAGTGGATGGAGTAGAAGGAAGTGTAGCATATGTGAATGAAGGAGTGGTGTGTTTATCTTTCAGGTTGTATTTATAGATGGCTTCTCTAGCAGTTGGCTTCTCCAATGACTACTTTTTCAACACTAGTTTCTCCAACGGCTAGTTTTTCAACAACTACTTTTTCCAACAAATAGTTTGTCCAATAGCTAGTTTCTAGAAAAATTAGTTTCTCCAACAGCTAGTTTCTGAGTTCCATGTCTCTTAAGGAGAGCACATTGCATAAACAGGTACAACCCAATATTTTGCATGGCCAATTTTATTTAGTACCAAATAATAATATTGTCACATACATTTAGTAGAAAACAAATTACATACACTAATACATAAAGGTACTGCCACATACAATAGTACAACACAAATTCCATTGATACACTAATACATAATGGTAGTGGCACATATAGTTACTACAACACAAAATGCATACACTTAATACATAATGGTACTGCCACATATAGTTACTACGACACCTACAGTACACACTAATACATAATGATTTGCTTAGTTGTTGGAAGATGGAAATAGTTCCTTGGCTAGACTTTGTAAGAGTTGTTCATGCAACTTCAGTACTGTTGGACTCATGTTGGAAGTATCCTTATCTAGTTGATCCATGTACTTTTGTATCATTTCATTTCTAGCCTGCTCCTTGGATGCTTCTGTTGTTTTTTCTAGTGCATTTGCTCTCTTCAACATAGCATCGTGAAACAAAACCATGTCTTCATCTGGCTACGAGCCTAGGGGAGATTGTGGTATGACCTTTCTCTTTCCTTTTCCTCTCATCCTAGCTTTTGCTTTCTTCTGCCCCTCTGGGCGTACTTCTTTGAATGTCTCCGCCTCATCTGTGTCTTGGTTGGAAGATGAAGTGTATGCTCCAGATTCATCTACTTTTGTTCTTTTGTTCTTGTCTGAACAATCTGTACCAGGTATACTTCTATACCATTTGGGTTCTTTCTTCAGAACCTTCCAGACATATTCAAGTGTAAAGGGCTTTTGCTTGTTTTCTCTCTTGAATGTGGCACGTGCTTTGTCCATGAGCATGTCATCAGATTCCCCACTACAATAGGTCATTCGATTATAGACCCCATTGAACTTGGTAGCAGCTACATTAAGTCTTCTCCAATGGCTTTTGAGCTATCCCTTTGACCTTCTTCTTTCACCTTCAGGTTGGCCTGAATTAAACGCTTCTGCTATTTTCTTCCAGTAGGCCTCTCCAGTCTGATCTATGCCATGAATTGGATCTACCGAATGCTTAATCCAAAGACTTACAAGGCGTAGGTTCTCGACCTCACTGTAATTAATTCTCACAACCCTCCTTCCTTCATCCGGGCTGCTGCCGCTTGAATCTTGCTTTTGGTCATCTTGCTCCACCTTTCTTATTTGCGATTGCGGGGTTGCTGAATCTGAGCCATGTGAAGATGCACCAGCAGCAGCACCTACAAACATCCACCTGTGAAGCCAAAGTGGGGTAGTGGTTGAAAACCTTGATAACTTGGTGAGAACTAGGCATACTGCTGGAGGTTGCTTACACCACCAAAGGGATTCAGGTTGTGCATGACCTGAGTAGGCGAACTATGTTGGGGATAATGGAAATAGTTGAATGGTGGTGGTGGGGTGGGCAACTGAGTCTGGTTGAATGGTGGTTGTGGGATGGGGAACTGATTCTGGTTGAAAGTGTTGGGTGTGAAATTTGGGATGTGCTGGAAGTTTGTGTTATCTGCTCTTGGATTCCTGGGATCAGTGGCGAGCAGCCTACTAAAACTACCCTCTGAGGATTCTATATGAACTAAGAAATATCACTATTGAGTTGTTTTGATTTTGCTTCTTTATTTTTGTGTAGGCCTGTGGGAAGGAGGAGGCAGAAAAAGGTTGCTGGAACAAAGGAGGAGGCCGCTGGGAACAAGAAGGCAGGAAAGGCTTGCAAGGAAGAAAGCAGGCTGCATGTCTCCTTTTGAAGAAGCGGCGTTCTGCTGAAGAAGAAGCATTGTTTTTTTCTTTGAAGGCAATGGTCAAGTGACCGTTGAAATGTGTCAGTGTGATATATTTTTTTTATTGCAAAGGGAGCGGGTTCGATGTATTAAACTTGGATCTCCATCGACACCCTCCCACAGTGTATCGTACTGGGTCCTTTGTTTGCATTAAATGCATAGACCCAACTTCTACACCCACACTGCGGGTGCTCTAACTAGAGTAGTAGGTATCTCGCTCGCAATTGCTAAGGCCCCGTTTAGATGCGAAAATTTTTGGTTTTTGCCTACTGTAGCACTCTCGTTGTTATTTGTCAATTATTGTCCAATCATAGTCTAATTAGGCTTAAAAGATTCGTCTCGTGGATTTCATCTGAACTGTGCAATTAGTTATTCTTTTTACCTACATTTAATGCTCCATGCATGTGCCGTAAAATTTAATGTGACAGGAAATCTTAAAAAATTTTGAATTTTGGGTGGGATCTAAGCGGGGCCTAAGTTTGCCTGAAATATCAGAAAAACGCAGTCCAACAGCTTCGTCATCTCCCTCTCTAAAATAGCTCGTACGCTATCCCGCAAAAGTCGCTCGAACTGGCCTCGCTCGCCATCCGGGGTGGCCCGGCGTTTCCCGCTTCGGCCTCGCTCTTCCCGTGCTCGCTCCGTCTCCTTTTGCCGTGATGTGCCGACCTTCACGGTGTCCTAATCCAACATCTGGACGAGGATTAGGATGTCGCCTACCGATCCTGACGGCGGCAGCGCGTCCCTCACCAGAGCCCAGAGGGAGTGGAGGGTGTATACGGCATTGTCCACCATGCCCGACTCTGGGTCGGCCATGAGGTCCACCAGCAGGGGCCGCACGGCTCCGGTCTCCATGGTGCGCGTTGCCGGTTCTCGCGCGTGCCGCTGCAGAGCTACCGACCGCCGCACCTTTTCCGCGCGTGCATTTTCTCCTTTGCGCCGCCCCTCGCCAAGATCTAAAATACTACGCCGCGCGCGGACACCATCTTCCTTGTCCTTCGAACGTGCGGAGGCAGAGCGAGCACAACTCCTCCGTCACTCCGTGTGTGCGCTACCGGCGACGAGGAATCACCGGATGCAGACCGCAGACCTTGAATATACCTGCTTCAATCCTTGCCTTGGTCTTCTTGAGATTAATCTAGAAGCAGTAGATGCACACGATGAAGAATCCGTAGATGAACCTGTATAGCACTGAGCTGCAACCATTGCCAGGCCAAGCCCCTCAGTACGGTGACCGGCCGGTGCCCAACAGCCCAAGCGACGAACAGCAAGGCGCTGCACGGTGACTAGCCGTAGCCGGTGCCCAAGGTGCTGATATGTGGGTTCAAAAAATAGCTAGCCTGATTTAGAGATTCTGCTGCAGGCGGTACGTATTTTGAGAGTCTAAATAGTTTTAGAGAGCCAACTTAGAGATCTAAATTTACATATACTCTTGGAGTCGTTCTTAGGTTCTACCGCGTGACCGCGCCGCCTCAGTCTCGTCTTTCACCAACCCCCGCATCCTCCCGTCAAGCAAACCCTAAGAATGGAGCACACACATTATCCAGAGTCAGGAGCAGATGGGCGAGATGCCTTGATGCGGGAGGAGATCAGTACCTTCTACGATTCAGAGGACAGCGAAGACGACCATTATTTGGACGACCCGATCAAGTACGATTTGTCAGTGTGGCTGGCAGAACTTGATGATGCCACCGACGATGTTCCTCAAATCCCGCCAGCATTCATAGTCTATTGCCGAGGTAAGAATTCGCCCAAGGGGGATCTAGGTTTTTTATTTGTGGATCTGCTAAATTCACCCGGGTGTTTGGGTCTTCCCCCAAACGATTTTATCTTAGATTGTCCTCCCCATCTCTGTCGAGCTCCACGGCAAGGATGAGGTTGTTCGGGGAGAGGGATAACGGCCAGTGCTGCCCTTTTTGGGCTAGTTCGGATAGTGTTTTTTTTTCCCCCTTGTATTGCTACGCTGAAACCATCACCATTTTGTATTTTCGGTCTGTAATTTGGACGGTGCTTCAGTATATGATTACTATTGGATCTGATTAGTATTTATGCGTTGCCCCCATGTTCAGATCTTCTTGAGAAAGGATGGGGATGGCAAAGGCTGGTGCCTTACTGTCATGGTAATGTTGATTGGACCACTTTTAAGGAATACCTCAAAGAATATTTTATCCAGAATGCCGGTGAAGTTGCCGCTCTTTGTGCGAATAAGAAGCCTGAGAAAGATAAGGACTATTTTTGCCGCATTACTGGTGGTGTTAAAGTCAAAGACAAAAGCATTCATAGCCACAATGTTTCTGGTTTTATCCAGGGTGTTGTAGCTGATATGGTAATGTCCTCCTGCCTCTGCAAAACTTTCTGTTGCCTATTATAATTGATTTTTGATCCAGTTGCTAATTAGCACCCATCCACCAATGCACCCTCTAGTGTATAGAAGTCAAGAACAACTTTCGCTTCATTCATCATCACCTATTCACCTTCTCACTGCTGAAGATATCATTCTGAGCCAGAAGATCGAGGAGTGTGCAAATTATGTGATCCAATCAGCGGGTGTTTATGCTAATGCAGCAGCAGCCTTAGTGGTATGCTTGTTACAAATTGGACCGAACTGTGGCTTTCCTGTCAATTATTATTTGATGTTTGCTAACTTTTCCCCTCCAATTTTGAAGTGTATCGTGAAGGAGACTGGCTTGTTATCTGACCTGTTTGACTGTAAGTTCGACACCACTGGAATGGTCAACTTGAGCAAAAAGGTCAGGCTCTGCCTATGAACTTATGCTCTATGAAGGGCCTGAATCTGCTGCCGCTGCAGGTGCCATGCTGGTATGTTCCTGTCCTTACTAAGACAACTCTGCCTGCTTAATTTTTCTTGTTTATTCTTTTATGCTGATAAGCTCCTCACCAATTACAAAATGTTTTAAAGGGTTTAGCGAAGGAGGCTAAGTTCTTGTGATACGTGCTGAGTCGAGAAGACAGATTCATGTACCGGGATTATTATTGCTGTCATGATATTCGAAGAGAGACGGTAGCAGCTTTGGATATGCTTTTGCAAGAAACTTCTAATTATGGGCTTTAGTTGTTGCCAAACCAGAGAAGCCTCGAGGGTATGGTCTTAATAAATAAGTTTTTATTGTTCGGAATTGTTGCTGCATCAAATTAGTGCCATTTAAATGTCCTCTGCCATTGGTGTGTTCAGCACTGTTGGTTATCTGAACTACGCTTCTGATAATGGTGATGTGAATGTTGCTTCAGCTGTTTCCGAATCAGAGAAGCCTCAAGGGTATGTTCTTAATAATAAATTAGTTTTTCTTTCTTGGAATTATTGCTGCATGATTTGTGACATTTGCTATTGGTGGGTTCAGCACTGTTGTGGATCTGAAATGCGCTTCTGATAATGTTGATGTGAATGGCACTTCCGCTGGTGCCAAATCAGAGAAGCCTGAAGGGTATGGTCTTAATAATAAATGTTTTTTCTTGTTTTGAGTTTTGATGCATTAAATTGGGTGACATCTAAAGTTCGCTGCTAATTGGTGTGTTCAGCACTGTTGGGTATCTAAATTGCGAAGTTTCGGATTCAATGGAACGATCTAAAGGGGATCTCAATGATTGCTGTGAAATGGACCGTAATGCCAAGGTAGGAGTAGTGAAACAAGGCTTTATCTCTAGCTCCTCTGATTTATTCTTTGTTTCTTGTGTGGATGTCCTCGTTAACATGACTGTTTATTGAAGTTCGGCTTCACAATCAACAAGGATCATATGCTTGAAGGGGAGCATTTGGATGCATCTTACTTATGGAAGGTTAGTGGAGAGGTGATTGAGAATATTTTCATCTAATTAGACCATCTTGTATATGCAATGCCTTATGTTTTGAAATGGGCAGAACTGAAGCTAATGAATTAAGATGCATGATATAGTAACAAATCTGCCCACCGCCACTAGCTCTTTATGTATGCTTTAGACTTGTCATTCACATTTCTTGTATTGTCTTGTACATGCCTTTGATTTTCAAATATGTTTGGCGCTGTTTGACATTAGTGGAATATTCTCTTTGCTTTTATCATTACTGTTTGTGCCTGACATCTAACATGACTATTTTTTTGAAATAGTGTTCACCTGGAACAAGGTTCAAACAGCGGATGACATTCTAGAAAAAAGTATCATTAGATTCTTCGTTAATTATATGTTCATAGTATATCTATTTGATGTCATAAATCTTTGTAATTTTCTCTATAATTTTGGTCAAACTTAAAATATTCTGACTCTCCAAGAAAGTTGGAATGACTTTATAATTTGGTACGGAGGGAGTACTAGATAGCTAGCTAGTTAGAGAAGGATCTTGTAAAGGTAAAGATGTTAATTGCTTATTAATTAAATAGTATGTTCATGAAAAAACATCAACTAGGATCCATGTCAAATAGAGCATCTGAATGAAACGCTCTGTGCAACATCTATTTCTTTACTGTCTTTGACCCTAATTATGATCCCAACTTCATTCCTTTTATTTATCCGCGTTATATCATTCGAATAATCTTATCCTCACCTTCTTAAGTCGTGTTCCAACTGAACGGACCCACATTCGGATATTGCAAAGTACATGGCAATGCTTAGGCTGGCTACCAATTCAAGGATGATGAGTAGGATATTCACTCCATGCTCTTAGGGAGTTCTTTATGCTGTGCGGTTACCGCCTTGCCACTGTAGGTCTCGTTCCTGAGATGAAATTCACTGTTCTCAGTGTGGGCTATGACACTATCCCATAATGACCAAGGGATGAAACCAACTTTTACATAACTCAGCAGTTCCTTTGTGTACTTGCAGACGCTGGTGACGATCTGTTTGTTGTTAGTTCTCATGAGCATAGAAACTGATAAAGTAATAATGTTGTTAGTTCTCATGAGCACAGAAACTGATAAAGTAATAATTTACGCAGGGATTCTGGGGTTATAGAATGGGTGAAGCCCACAAGCCTCGGTGGAAGAGCCAGAACTAAATTCAGTGCCAATCTTTAGATTACATTTGAACTTCAATTGCTACACGATTTTGCCAGCAGTATATCTTATCTTAGTTGCTAAAACACGGTAACATATAGGCATTTTTCTTACACAACATGTGTATGTATGAAAGTGACAAGAATGGATCGTGCAACACAAAATCCACATAAATGTATTTTTTTTAATTAACCTCTCTTGTAGGACCAATAACTTATAGTCTAGGACACACTGATAACCCACAGCATGCACGCAACCCAAACAATGACGAAATGTAGAGGATGCAAGCTGCAACAAACCAAATCCGCTTCTACATCCAGAATGCTTCAGGAGCAAAAGAATATTCATGCCTAGATACTAAGTAGGAGCGTCTGGACTGGTGATGCGTGGTTTGCAGCTCTCTCTTCGGATTGTGCCTGAGGCCAAACATGGTGACATGAAGCCAGTAAGCGTCCTGGTCAACCAAGGAGCACTCCATATCCACTCCATCTCGTATCACGCTCTCAATAAGACAGAACCTGCTGCTGCCCATATACAGCTTGTTTGGGAGGCCGTATCGTATCGTGGATTATTTACTGCTGGCTGGTTTGGTGTGAGAGAAAAACACTGTTCTCGGTTGGAAATTTACGATCGTTTACGAGCAAGCGAACAGGCTGATAGGTGAGGGAAGCACTCAGGTGATCCTCCGCCGGGTCCCTGCGGAACAGCTTCTCCTCCGCCACCTGCCAATCCAGCTGCATTATTCGAGTCAGGCTACGGCGGGATATCTAACTATTTGCCACTCTTATGGTGGCTGCCTCTCCGTTTGCCAATTTTATCGTGCCAATTATAAAATTGCCCGAGAAAACAGTAACCTTGCTAATATTTTGCCATTTTCGCTGACGTGGCACGCCACCTCAGCGTGCCAGCATGGAACTTGACGTCCCCGTCTGCCCAGCTAAATGGCGCTAGCAGCTCCCGTCAGTCCCCATCTCTCTGCTTATCAGCCTCCTTCCCTATTCCCGGCTTATCAGCCTCCTTCCCTATTCCCCGGCCTGCAACTGCAAGAAGAACAGGAACTGCTTACTCACCAGCCGATTCTGAATGGAAATTTCTGATGCCTGGACGCAAGCATCATCAGTCATCAGAGAGGTCACGAGGGACGGGCACAGGGGAGGCAAGCCAGCGCCTTGGAAACGAAGCTGCTCTTGCTCTTGTCCTTGTCCTTCCCCGACAACGACGGCTTCACCGTGGGGATGTGGGAGCCGTCCTCGCCGCGCTTCATGCATTTTTCACACTCGTCGTGGAAGGCCTTGAAGGCGTCGACGCAGTACCTGGCCGCCTCCGCCACCGTCATCCCCTCCACGAGCTTGTGCGGGTACAAGTCCTTGGTGTGGTCGCCGTTGAGCACCGCGGCGAGCTGCACCAGCTCCTCCTGGAACTCCGACAACGGGGCTTGCTCCGCGGCCGCCGTCCGCCGCAGCTTCACTGGCTCAGGCAGGGTAACTGCATGCACGCACGCACATCATCAGTATCAGTGTCAGTCATGCATGTCTGTCACAACACACTAGCTACTACTACTAGTGACGTACGTGGGCAGTCGGTGCGCGGCGTGTCGCGCGTGAGGAAGCAGTCGAAGGTGCCGGCCCAGGCGTCGCGCTTGGTGAGGAAGCTCCTGAGGTTGAAGAGCTTCTTGACGGTGGCCGGGATGGAGGAGTGCTCGAACTCCGACGTCGGGTATGGCCCCGACAGCCTATGCAGCACGGTCCCGGGCTCGATCCACGGCGACACGAGCAGCGCCGGGACGCGGACGCCGAGGCTGTCGAAGCCGAAGAAGAAAGGCGCGGCGCTGACGATGCCGTCGGGGCTGGGCACGACGCCGGCGCCGGCGGGCGTGGGCACGTGGTCGTAGAACCCGCCGTGCTCGTCGTAGGTGACGACGAGGAGCGTCTCCTCCCACTGCAGCCCTGACCGCAGCGCCTCGTACACCTCCTTGACGAACCGCTGGCCTTCGGCCACGTCATGGGACGGGTGGTCGTCGTTCCCCGGGAGGATCTCCAGGTCGAAGTAGCGCTGCTCCACGACGACGTAGCTGGGCAGCTTTCCCTCCCGGCAGTGACGCCGGAAGTCGAGGTCGAAGGCGTGGAAGCTGCCCGCGTACTTGAGCTGCCGGAGGTTCCGGTAGAAGAGCGTCGACGGCGGGTACTGGTAGTAGATGCCGAAGGAGAAGCCCTCGTCGTGGAGCGCGTCGAAGATGGTCCGCTGCGGGAGCCCCGCCACCAGCGCCTTGGTGTCGTTGCTGACGAGGCCGTGGGAGGTGGCGGAGTGCACGAATAGCCGGTTGGGCTGCGTCGAGGGAAGGAAGGACGTTGTTGACATGGCAGCACTACACATGAGCTAGGACGAGAAGAAGAGGAGGAAGACAAGCAAGATGGCACCCAGCTCGGACGCTTGTCTGCCAAGCATCTTATCTTCAGAGTTTTCAGACACACACACACGCATGGTTTCGTATACTCCTAGTATATTCTGACATGACAACAACAACGTGAACAAGAGAGAGGAAGCTAGAGCAGTGTAGTGCCTGCATGGACGTACACGCATCGGAGAAGACGGACGCCGGAAGGCGCGAGCGACAGAGAAGCGTCCTTGCCATCGTCGCCGTCGCCATTCCTCAGAGAGATTTCTTTTGGCTTGTGGAACTATGTGGAGGCCGCTGCAGACCATTGTTGACCCCACTTGTTGGGCTGCTGCTTTTGGATTTGCTTGACACTCCAAGGTAAGGTAAGCCAAGAAAAGATAGAGACCTCAGACCACAAGCAACAAGTCCAACAAACAAACCAGATGATGGATCCACAGCAGCTGCTTAGCTTAGGCGTCCGATCCATCCACCATCAGTTCTGTACCGTACTGTGCTTTTGATCAGCGGAGACGGACAGTTGCGGGCGCCGTTGGTCAGCGGAGACGGAGGCGTTAACTTCCACGCTGGCGCGTTGATATGGCATGACACGTCAGCGAAAATGACAAAATATTAGTCTGGTTACTGTTTTCTCGGATAATTTTGTAATTGGCACGATAAAGTTGGCAAACGGAGAGGCAGCCACCGTAAGAGTGGCAAATAGTTAGATATCCCGGCTACGGCTGCGGGAGGCAACTCGGCAGGAACAGACGTGCCCGTCCCGACGAAGGCCAACCCACCGATCCAGGTCGGCGTCGAAGTAGGTGTCACCTCCACACGCAGCTCCCCGTGCCACCTCCACACGCAGCTCTCGGTGTCGAACGAGAAGGTACCCACGTGAAGGCCCGGGCTCTCCCTGTACGCGGTGGTCATGAAGATGGTGCGGCCGTCTGGGTGCACGGCGTGGGAGGTGACGAACTGGTTGTGGCTGAACGTCGGTGGTGGTGCCGGGAGCGATTTCCAGGACCAGCCCTCGGTCTTCGGACGCTGCAGCAGCTCGTCCAGTCCGTTGGGATTGGGATCCCACGACATCGCCTCCAGGGAGTGCTGCTTCTGCTTGTCGGAGAAGCGGTGCGACAGGGCGTAGAGCGTCCCGCCGACGGGCACGGCGATGCCGGAGTCGCATAGTAGCGTCTGAGCGGGGGCGTGTGGACCGACGGATAATCCGTCTGTCCTGGTGTCGTAGACGAGGGCGCAACGCTGGTTCGTGAAGACGAAGATCTTGCTGCCCAGGGCGGCGAAGAACGTGCCCTCGTGGGGCACGGTGCCGGCTGGTGACTCTATACGCAGGGCCGGAGACCCAGGGAGGGAGGCGTCCTGCCGGTCGCCGGAATCGGAGTGGAAGCTGTCTGCGTCGATCCTGTGGATCGTGAACCCTCTGCTCCAGTCGTCCAACAACAGACAGAGGTGCTTCCGCCGCACGGGCCGCGACCGCGACCTCTTCTTGTCACCGCCATCCCCTTGGTGTTCGCCGTCATGCACCCGACGCTTAGACATCCCTAGCGGTTGGAGTGCTCGTGGATAGATCTGCTAACGCAAACCCCCACTATTATTAGGAATTCAATAGAGGAAAAACCAAATCGGATTCCGAAGTTGATACGCAATCGATATCTGAGGAGAGGGAAGAGGAGTCGGATTCGCTGATTTATACTACACGAGAGGCTGTGTGTACCTGGCCGCCGGCTGATCAGAGCAGCTCAGCGGGTCCGAGGCGGTCGATCTACCCGTGTTTTCTCTCTAATCTGCCTATATAGGCCATAGATGTAATCGATGCACTATTTCAACAGGCCAACCTCTCCGGCGCGGGCGTCCAGGCCTCGGCGCTGCGCCGCCGCTGGGCCGTGAGATCGCGGGCCCGCGGCAGTCTGGCACTGGCACGGCCTCAGGATTCTGCTTCTACGGCACTGAACCGCTCAGCATCTCTCCACTCTCCTATCCATTCAGGTTCGGGACTTCTCCCTCATTGTGGATCAGCTGGGAACCTTCTAAACTGACCAAGTTAAAAACATTGGAATAATTTACATACATGACAAACAAGAATGTGTTTGCATCTGAATACCTCAGACATTCCTTCTTCATGCTAAAATAAAGGAATGCTGACTTCTGGAGGGTGGAGTTTAGATTTCCCACCACTACCCAAACCAACATACACATACTAGTTGTCGAATACTATGATCTACTAAGGTCCACAGAAGCAGCCACTGCAGCAAAGGATACTTGATCCTGGAACTCGTCCTGTTTGCCTAATCTTTTCAGCCTTCTGAACTGCTATTGCTGCTTGCTGGTTCATTTTGGCATTAGCTGAAGCCCGTTTCTCTTCAGCAATGCGCCGTGTCATCTCTAGCTTTTCGGCCATCTTTGCCATGGCCTCACTTCTCATTCTCTCAGCATGTTCCTGTTGCAAAATGATTGTCAATGTTACTAACACATCCAAATCATTAAATTCAAAATATCATAGTATTCAATATTGTTGCGTTCAAAACATCATATGAAAGATTATTGCATTCAAAACATCATATGAAAGGTTATTGCATTAAAAATTTTGAAAGGATTTTGGGCAGAGAAAGTCAGGTACAGTCCATTTTCGAAAAAAGAGAGCCAAGTACACTGGGGATAAACAATAAACTGGAACTGTACCTCTATTCTTCTCATTTCAGATTCAATTTTTGCTCTTCGACGACTCTCCCAAGCTTCAATCTTCACCTCTTCTTTTTTGAATCTGTGGAATACAATCTCCATTACATGATGAAATGAACAAGACTAATATTTAAGACCTTTTTTGTTCTCTTTGTAAGTCAAAGCAGATGAAACCTTCAAGAATGATCAAATATTTCAGAGAAATAATACCTTGCTGTATGTTTGGTATTTTCTGCCTCCTCATATGATGCAGCACGAGCAGCATATTCCTTCTTCATGCGCTCCAAATCAGCAATGCTTGGTGCTGCAGAGACTAGTTCAAGCTCTTCTTTGCTGGCCCATGTAGCAATGTTCATCTTTCCTAGCTGTATACCAAGAGCAGCAATTTCTTGCCTTGTTTTAAGCCTCGTTTCAGTATCTGACAATTCATTTGCATGTGTGCCACCTTTTCTGTTGAAATATGGACCATCATCTGTGCAATCTTCTCCAGGAGATGCTATTGACCTCCCTCCTACAGGTGTTGACGGTATGGAACAATTAGGGCTTCGAGTTGGTGTCCTTGACCCAAGTGGAGTTCCAGTTCTTGAAGGTTCCTGGCTAGGAATTGGTGTCATTTCTGTGCCCACATCTCTCACAGACACCGAATGAACTGTTGGGATAGCTGCACGTAACAAATCACACATTCAAATCAGTGTCAGTTTCAAAAACAGATAAGGTTTTAACTTTAAATATGCTATACTTGCTTCATGATACAGTTACGTGCATTTATGTCCAATATAGGCCAAGAAAAAGTTACCGTTTGTATCGTTGCAGGGTTTCACTTCAATTGATGAACCAGTATCAGTTGCCTTGTGACACTCCGAGTTAGCACTAGCATTACTAACTGGACAGATATCTGCATGCCTAACCAACTTAGGCTGATACGAAGCAAACGATAACCTCTCTAATATGCTGCGCGGAGCAGACAAAGCTGGGTTCACTCTCTTCATTTTCTGCACAGGGCGACCAGAAATTTTGGGCACAATGGCGCCCCTGGCTGCAACAGAGTTCATCTGGTTTACTGTCTGGTTCTGCGCTGTGCCCTTGGTGATGTTCTGGTTAACATTCTGCCGGTTCACGATCCATTTCTCTGCATCATTCCACTTGGAGGAAATGGAGGTCTGTCTAGATAAATACCCCATAGCTGGATTCTGCGTCGCCATCTTCTCAACTCCATGGAACTCAAAGCTACTAGTGCTAGCATTGTCAAGACCACTGTCGCATTCTGTACTGTCTTCTTCCACCGGTCTCACTGGGTGTATCATGCTCGAGCTGCCTGTTGCTGGTTGAGGAACCGAACTCTTGGAGGTGTTCTGAACTTTATTGCTGTCCACTGCTGAATCCTTTTCTACGGCTTCAGTTTTGTTATCTGCCGAAGGGTGTTTGATGCCATCTGCACTGTCTGAAACTGGTTATGAAACAAGAACGACGAGTTATTGACTTAGTCAGGAAAAAGGTAACTAATCCAATCAATGGCCAATTCGTCTGTACCTTCTTCAAGAACATCACACACTAATAGCCTGTTCTGTGCTTGTGAAGCCTCGATGTTTTTTGCAGGTGACGTCCGCGATGATGAGTTGCTGGTGATGACTCTAACTCGATTGTGGGCTCCCATAATCTTCATCCTTAGCTTTGTTGGGGAAAGAGCACCAGGCTGCAGCAACCTCAAAGCTGTAAGTCTTTTTCCCATGAAAGCCCCAGCTTATGATTTCACAATCAAAGTAGTTACTTTTGCAGAGACAAAAAAAAGGGCAAATACGTCAATGTGGGTGTAGGCCAAAGGGCATTCTAGTACTCTGAAGAACTAGGAGGTATTTCGAGGTGAAAAAAGAACTGCGAGATGTGAGGCAATACTGAAATTGAGTGGAACTGTGGAAGGGTACTGCTATATGTTAGCCTGGAACAAGATGTCAAAAAATAATTAAAAATGCTGCAAAATTAATTAAATCATCGTAAATTTCATGTCATGCAAAATACTAGGATGCACTGTACCAACGCTAAATTCTGCAGAATAAGCATTCTAGCCAGGCATCCACTGCCTCCGAAATATGCTTTTGCTCATGGATATGGGTGTATTCAGAGTTGGATTTGGGGGGTTTGGCCTCCATTGAGAAGGCAGATTGACAGTTGGATTTGGGGGGTGGGGGTTTGGCCTCCATTGAGAAGGCAGATTGACCGGAAGCTCTCTAAACCAGAAACATTCTACTCAACTATTGGCATTCAAAAGTCTACCCACTTACAGCATTCTATAAATTTCAGGAAAATGGCCTGAAAATGAAATGGATGACCATACCAACACGCAGGAACATATTCTCGAGGAGGGGAGAACAGGCGGAAAGAAATGGCATCGAAGCAAATTGAGTGGCCAGCAAGTGAAAGTACTAGCCGGATCAAACCAGCTACTGCACTGGTTTGCGGCTTCGCGTAGAGCACATACCTGGGCTTTCTGATGAATCCTCTCGTACTCCATTCTTCCTCGCTGCTCGCCTGCCGGGGAGGGTGCGACGAGTGGCCAGCGACAAAGGGAGGGTGAAGACTGAAGACAAGAATGAAGAGAGAGGAGGGGAGGGAGAAGGAGAGTGGAGAGCACTGGGCAGTGGGCACCAGAGGTCTTTGGACCAGTGACCAGAGCAGCAGAGGGACTGGGATAGCTGAGATATAACAGCGCGATGTCATGTCTCGCGTTTTTTAGCCCTCCATTCATCAGTGTGTTTGAGCCAGGACTAAAATACAGGAGGTGTCAGATCGTATATTCGGATAGATAGGATATTCAGCTAAAAAGAATAAATATGAGTCTAATTAGATTTAATAGATTTATTTAGTAAATTAGTTTTAATTTATATACTTAATTTTATAATTAATTTATATTTAATAATTTAAATTAGTGTCGAATATTCGATGAGACCGAGACTGTCAAACGACTGCCTAGTTCCTACTGCTACTAGACAAGTATAGAGTATAGACAGGAGTCCACAAGTCAGTTTCTCGCTTTTCTCCAGCCATGACCATGACCAAGATCATGAGTCCATGAGAAATTTTTTTCCAGAAAAACTTTTAGGCCTTTTTTATTTTCTTTCTCAAAGTTTACTCTATATCTCATCAAATATTGGACACATATATCAAGTATTAGATATAGAATAAAAAATAACTAATTACACAGTTTATGACAAATTTACGAGACGAATCTATTAAAATTAATTAGTGCATGATTTAACAACGTTGGTGCTACAATGATATATACGCTAATGATGAATTAATTAAGTTTAATAAATTCGTTTCGTGGATTATTGAAGAATTCTGTAAATTATTTTTTTTATTAGTATCAACATTCCACGTAACGCTCCATGTGACACCTTAAAAGTTTTTAAACAAGGCACTTGCTTTAATACGAATACGTGTCTCGTCACGTGACCTGACCACACGCAAAGGTGGCTACGAGTACTGCGCTAGAAACTCATCCATGTGCTGATGTGCACCTAGAACTAGGATTCGTACAAACAACGTTTTGTTGTTATCCTGCCAACAGCCCAACATTTTGTTCTAGTACTTATATCAGAAAGTGTTCATCCTCTTTACGGTGCTTTTATCAGTAAAGTGTACACAGAAAGTGTTCATCCTCTTTACGGTGCCTTTATCAGTAAAATCACACGAGCGTTTTACTATTTCATTGACATATTCGGCTGATATTAAAGTTTGGCTTAAATGTTTATCCTCTTTATGGTGCCTTTATTAGTAAAATCACACGAGCCTTTTACTATTTCATAGGTATGTTCGGCTGGTATTATCAGTTGGCTGAAGCTGTTTTATTATGAAAAAAATAT